TTTAATTTAAAATAATTTTATTAATGAAATTAAGAAAAACATTATATGAAAAGTAGCTAAAAAGATCACATACAGTAACTTCTTTTATTGAGACAACAAAATAGATCATAAATTGAATATAGATAGTTATAAGCATAATTATAGAGATCGTTAATAAATTATATTTGTATATATTCAATATTGATCTCATATGAAAGATCACAAAAAATTATGAATTTTGATATGATTTTTGTAAAAATTGGAACAAAAATGAAAAAGTTATAATACTTTAAAAAAAATTGGGGTTTTTTATTGGTTGGGCCCCACCAATTGAAAATCCCACGGCTGCTCCCCTTCCATTTCAATTGGAGAATTCGGTATTTTGGAGTGAAAAAAGCCACGTGTCATTTTTATAGAAAATGAGAGAATTGTGGAGAGTTTGACACATAGGATTAATGAAGGGTAAAATAGTATTTTTATGAGCTATTTCTTTTCATATATATAATTGAAAATCCCACGGCTGCTCCCCTTCCATTTCAATTGGAGAATTCGGTATTTTGGAGTGAAAAAAGCCACGTGTCATTTTTATAGAAAATGAGAGAATTGTGGAGAGTTTGACACATAGGATTAATGAAGGGTAAAATAGTATTTTTATGAGCTATTTCTTTTCATATATATAAATAGAATAGAAGAAGGTAATTTTTAATAATTATAACTATTTAAGAAAAATATGAAACATCTAAAAGACTCACAATCATTACCAGTGTATTATTAAATTAAGTGATTAGCGGTTAATATATAATAGTATACTTCGTATATGTGAGTTACGTAAATTTCCAAGAATAATATTATATTGAAACCGAGCCTATGTAAATATGTAATGACTTAACTTTCTAAATATATCTAAACATTAGCTAGATGTAATTTAGCTAATTTGAAATTTGATTTCTTTCGGGTTATATGTAATGTGATTTAAAAGAAAAATAAACTTAGTCTAATATAGAGCATGTTTGATAATACTAAAATAAATTGAATCAACTTATTTTACTCAAATTGATTAAATTATGACTGAATGAGCTAAATGAGTGGAATCATGAAAAAATATGTAAAATATATTCCATTTGTGAAGCCAGAAAAAGATTATATGAAAAATAGTTAAATTGATCTTCTACATAAGCATCTCGAGTAAATATAATTGCTATGAACCCGATTTTAAACGTTTAATATAATCTTATGAAGATGGATATTCACAGAAATTTAATACGGAGTATATATTAAGTAAAATAGTCTAAATATAGAGCATGTTTTTTTAAATTGTAAGCCTAAACGTGTAAACGTATACTATAACATTGAATTGTTATAATGGAATTAAAATGTATAATTCTAACACATAATTCTAAGCCTAAACGTATACTATAACATTTAATTGTTATAGAAATTAAAATGTATTATATTTTTGGCTAAGAATACCTGTCATATATAAACTTAGCCTAAAATAGAGTATGTTTAATATAGTATTTTCTACGGATTTTTGTTTCCATATTAATATGCAATCAAAAATAGAATCTAGCTAATAAAAATAGAAGGTACAAATTAACTAAATAATTACTACGTAATATATATAATGACATGGCAGGATTATGTGGCGCTTTGTATGCTCTTAAAAAGTTCCTCTTTTATATATATATATTGATTAATTATTATTATAATAATCTATACAATATGAATTGAAACGTAAAACTTTCCAAATTGAAATGAAAGACTAATAATTATTAGGGAGTGTAAACGTGTATATAAGAAAGGGAACTTTTGTAGTGCCATGTGGCAAACATTAGCTAAAAGAGTGACACGTGTCAATGGTACATAACAGAATGACACATGTCAATGTAACCTCCAATTGTATAATATATAGATTCTTTAATTGGAACATGTTGTGGTTGTGATTATTATACAAAAGTTAAATTCAGTGGTTCAAATATCTGACTCCTTCTTAATTAAGATCTCTATTTACTCAGCTTTTATGGAGCTCCTTGTTATTTGGAAAGAGGTATTTCGATCATTTAAAAAAAATAAAGGCATGTCTGCATTAAGTATATTTATTTAAAATTAAGAAGGATTTGATATTTGATATCAGATCTTTCTACTCAATAATCTTTCTTTCGATAATCTCATCTTTTCAAATGTGATCTCCAAAACGATCTTCTAGATCATCTAAACTAAAAGGGGATAAGGGTCAGTTTGGTCCTCGAAGTTGCAAAAAAGGGGTCAAATAAGTCCTTATATAGGAAATTCTGTCCGGACGTGCCATTTGAGGTGGCTCCCGGTGGAATTTTTTGATGAAATTTTTTGAGCATCTTATTCATTAAGTCTAGTTTACTCATACCAAATTTCAGATAAAAATTCAATCGGGAAGACATTCAAATGAATTCTTGAAGATAACTGTGCCATTAAAGGCGCCGTTATCTTCAAGAATTCATTTGAATGTCTTCCCGATTGAATTTTTAGCTGAAATTTGGTATGAGTAAACTAGACTTAATGAATAAGATGCTCAAAAAAATTTATCACAAAATTCCACCGGGAGCCACCTCAATTGGCACGTCCGGACAGAATCTTCTATATAAGGACTTATTTGACGCCTTTTTTGCAATTTCGAGGACTAAACTGACCCTTTCCTCAAACTAAAAGCGAGTCGCACAATAAATTAGAGAATTTGATTCAAGTATTTGAGTAGTACGTTTGGAACAGTCATTAGTCAGGAAAGTAGATTTTCTAATACTTTTTCATAACGAGACTTTAACCAAAGCAAAAACTTCTATGCTTCTAACACATTTACAAGGCTCCTGTTCAATTGTTTTTTAGTTCTTACTCCATTTTAATTGTGTTTCAAAATTAAAATAGATTTTGAAATTACAAAAGCCACTTCAATTTTCTGCTGTCAACTTTTGTGAAAATATTGTCCACTAATTGACACGTCCTATAATAATACTCACTTCATTCCAAATTAAAATACTTCCCAATTTGACTTTGACAAGCTTATTAACAAAGTGAGAATAAAGTGAAAATGTATGTTAGTTAAGTAAGAAAAAATGTAAATGAATGTTAGTCACACAAAACTTTCCAAAAGAAGAAATGAGAAGAATTTTTCGAGACATTCCAAAATGGTAAGTGAGAAGAATTTTGTGGCACGGAGAGAGTATGAAGAATATGAATCACCAAGTCAAGCTAACTTTTAGTGGATGTGCTAACTTAAAATGCAACAAAGAATTAGTCAAAGCCTCTAGCTCTCCAATTTTCATGCATCAAAACCACAATTTTCATGCATCAAAACCCCCTCGTGATATAGAAATTGAGTGCATTAGACCTCTTTGATTTAAAAAATCCGTCAACCCCCATGTTCAAATTGTAGAACCCCTCTTATGAATAAATTTAACAATTTTAAAATTATTTTTCTTAATGTTATGATTGAATATGTAAGTAAATTTATAAAAATCTCTAAATATACAAAAATGCTAATCAAGAGTGTTTGATGCATTAAACCATGTTCTTGTCATAACCTTTTCAAAGAGGTTTACGGTCATTTTATTTTGGACCAATAATAAATAAAATTTTCTATGTGCTACAAAACTTCGTCAACGACTTTCTCAAGAAATGTCATTTCTTAATAATTGTGTCAGTTACTAGTATTTTAGTTTTAGGAGGATGAGAGTACTCAACTACACCATTATTCCTTCCATTCCAACTTTACATTTTCACTTGCCTTTTTTATTTTTAGATGTCCCAGCTAAATGTTTCATTTCTATTTTAGAAAATGATTTAACACTATTAAATGATAATTTAATTTTCAAATATTAAAAATGATACTTGTATTACATCACAATTAGCACCAATAACCTCATTACTCATTATATGATATTTCCATCATAAATTGTCTTAAATAGGACTAATGAGTTCCTAAAAAGCACAACTAGGACTACTACTTTTAAAATTCTCTAAATAGGACTAAAAATTGATTTTCTACCCTAAATACCCCTAAGAGTATTAATTCATAATGAAATGCTTTAATTCATAATAAAATCATAAAAATGCTAAAAAATATTTTAAGAACGTAAAAAAATTATAACAAATTTATAAAACATTTATAAAATAAAAAATTTAATTTTTTATTTTTTTAATTTTTTTAAAAAAATAATAAAAAATAGTAAAAACCCATAAAAATGAAAAAAATTATGGATACCTTTCCCACCGCCTCCCGCCGCCTCCCAGCACCACCACCCCTGATTGGTGAAATTTCTTCCACTTTTGGTAAAAAAATGCCGTATTTTTCTGAAAATGCCAAAAAGATGACATAATTAATCTTCAATATGCCAACATTTTCATTGAATATGCCATCATTATGGCATTATTTAAAATGTTGGCATATTTTTCTCCGGTGATGGGAGCTGGTAGTGCTGGGGGGTGGTAGGGGTGGTAATGTTTTTTTTTTTTAATTTTATGATTTTCTTTTTATTTTTTTTTATTTTTTTTATTTTTTTTTTAAAAATATTTTTATTAATTTTCTATTATTTTTTTTTACAATTTTTAGTATTTTTTTTTTATTTTTATTAATTATTTTTATGATTTATTATTAATTAAAACATTTCACAAGTTACAAGGGTATATTTGTCCAAACACACATAAATAGTCCTATTAAGGGAATTTAAAAAATGTAGTCCTATTTGTGCAATTTTGCCACTTTTTAGTCCTATTTAAGGAATTGACTCTATATCCATCAAAACTATTTCTCAAAATTATTTAAATTGTTTTATTTAATTACTCTGATATTCACTTCATTTTTAATGAGAAACTTAAGCCATAATGGAAGTAATATTTATTTATGACTTGTTTGTGTGTACAAATAAATTTTAAAAAATTACACTTTTAAATGAATTGACTGTACACACGGACAAAATAGATAACGTACAAAAAAACGTAAAAATCAATTTTCAATGAGAGCCGAGACCAAAGCCCAACCCAAGCCCGACATTTGCCTACTTAACTGTTCTATTTTTTCTGTAAAAAAGAGAAGTACGCTTAAAAGGATACGGAGTACTCCCCAAGTTTGCTCTACCTCCGGTCTTCCACACAGATCTCTCAACTTCTTTGCTTCTCTGAGCAGTATTTTCTTGACTTTTTCTATCCCTCTACACTTTAACGCACGCACAAGTAGCGGCGGAGATGGCAACGCCCATGGCGGAGGACAGCAATTTCGAGGATGACCAGCTCGCTTCTATGTCCGTTGAAGATGTTATCAGGGCTTCGCGGCTGCTCGACAACGAAATTCGAATTATGAAGGTCCCGTCTTTAAAAATTTGTGGGGTTTAATGGATTTTGCATTTTCGGATCACAGTGTATTTTCGTATAGTCTGATTTAACGTTTGGTGTTGGTGGATATTAGGAAGAAGTTCAAAGAACGAATCTTGAGTTGGATTCGTTCAAGGAGAAGATCAAGGAAAATCAAGAGAAGATTAAACTCAACAAGCAGCTTCCTTACTTAGTAGGAAACATAGTTGAGGTGAGTAAATCTTTCCTTCTACTATGCAGTGCAGCCCTAATTTGGAAACCTGTGGTTAACCACTACATCATTTTTTCTTTTAATTTCTTTAGTTTTTTATTTTACTACAAACTGCCTTGTTTGTGGTAGAATTGTTTAAATTTATGCACATTTGCTTTCTTTATAGGTGAGATGTAACTTTCTTGGAACAGTTTAAGGGGTGTTTGGAGTTTGATAAAATTTTGTGTGAATGTTCTAACTTTCATGCGTGGCGGTTCTGATAAGTCCAGACCAAAATATTACTCTAGTAAAACATATCAAAACTAATAATTAAATGTTTACTAAGTTTATTTATGGGTGAGTTCACCAAACATATCAATCTACTAATGAGCTAGCTCATGAACTAACAAACTTAACATTGTCAAGCTTGAGTTTGGTTTGTTTATAGTAAAGAGCTTCAAAAAAATGAACTTGAATGTTATCTTATCAAACCGAGATCTGAATAGTTCAAAGGCATCTTGGTTCATTAGTAGCCCCAATTGATACTCTACCCAAAATACCTGTAGTGAAGTGTGATTTTCAGAACATGAAATCTATTTTGCTACCTGTTCATGTTAAACCCCATTACCCTACTAGGACGTAAACTATTGCTAGTTTATAAGTTTAAATAGGCAAGGTTCAAATTTCTTGGAAAAGTTACACTAATCAGTTATCCAGCAACTTACCATCTGTGTAAATTTAGATAGAGAAACATATTCTTGGCTTGACCATCAATGTACTCCCCACTCTCTAAGAAGTGGCCAGTTGCCGTGTGATGGATTCATGTTGGCTGAGAAGGAAAGAGTATACTATGTATGACACAAGATGTCTCATGAAAAAATGTTCTTTTCTATCAACCAATTTACTAGTTTTGAAATAAAATACAACTGTAAACACTGGTGTGGTCTCTCTTGAGTTTTTAGCTTCTAACTAAATCCATTTATCATCAGATTTTAGAAATGAACCCAGAGGAAGATGGTGAAGAGGATGGCGCAAATATTGATCTTGACTCACAAAGAAAGGGAAAGTGTGTTGTACTAAAAACATCAACTCGCCAGGTAAGGTTGCATGCCCTTTTCAATTCCTTATGATTCTATCTTCATGCTTTATCTCGTATTCTTCTGTAATGAATTATGTGTCACTCAGTTTCTGCTATGTCTTCTATTGATATTGATATGGTTTTTCCCAACTGTAGACAATCTTCCTGCCTGTGGTTGGTCTTGTTGATCCTGACAAGTTGAAGCCCAGTGATTTGGTTGGTGTGAACAAAGATAGTTATTTGATCTTGGACACTTTGCCATCTGAGTTTGACTCTCGAGTTAAGGCAATGGAAGTTGATGAAAAACCAACAGAGGACTACAATGATATTGGAGGGCTTGAGAAGCAGGCATGATTTTCTGTATTTTTCACAGCTGAACTATCTTATAAGGTTTTGGTATTGAATTGAGTTATGCTCAGCATATGATGTGCAAGCCCTCTAAAAATTATTATGTTGGGAACTGTTACAGATCCAAGAACTGGTTGAGGCAATTGTTTTGCCTATGACGCACAAAGAGCGGTTTCAGAAATTAGGAGTCCGTCCACCAAAAGGTGTTCTTCTCTATGGACCTCCGGGGACTGGTAAAACACTAATGGCTCGTGCCTGTGCCGCTCAGACAAATGCTACTTTTCTCAAGCTAGCAGGTCCTCAACTTGTTCAGGTAATAGATTTTGTTGCAATCATGTTAATATGCAGGTTTCTTGTTTCATATCCTTTGCTTTTCCACATAATAGACTTATGGGTAGGTGTATGTTTTGTTTTTAGTGATAAGTTGTGGCATATACTTCGTATTATGGTTATATGTTTAGGTGGTTGCATGTCTTCAATTACGCAAGTCATGCAGTTCAGTATTTGCTTTTAGAGGAACATTCATCTGAGTATTCTATTTTAGTTTATCATTGAACAATTTTTAAATGGTGGTCGACTGTCTGGCAGATATGTTAAGCATTGTGTTTCCTTGACAGGATAGATGGGGTGGCTATCTTTGAATTGCTGCCCGTCATGTTTACAGTTGCTTTGACACATGGATTAATCTATAATAACTGAACTTCAGGAAATAGGAACAGAGATATAGAATTCTAAATATAATGTTAGTGCTTTATAGCCAAAAATTTAATACTTTTGATATGTGTGTGCTTATACGTTCTGTATATGTAGATAAATTATAAGATTTTGTTGCTGAAAGAAAAGAATGCTGTTATAATTGTAGATGTTCATTGGAGATGGAGCAAAACTTGTTCGTGATGCTTTCCAGCTTGCAAAGGAAAAGTCCCCTTGCATTATTTTCATTGATGAGATTGATGCTATTGGCACAAAACGTTTTGATAGGTTTGTTATTTATCTGGCATTTGTATTCAAGTGGATTTCAAAACTCTCTTTGCAACTTTTCTCTCTTTACTGTTGTCAATATCATTTTCAGTGGTTAACAAATTGAGAACAACTTTTTGTGTTGAATTTGATGATTAATTACCTTAACTGAGTATTTTCTTTATATCCAGTGAGGTCAGCGGGGACAGGGAAGTCCAAAGAACTATGTTAGAACTATTGAATCAGCTAGACGGATTTAGCAGCGATGATAGAATAAAGGTATGGTGTTTGGATGTGATCACATGATAATGTAGAGTAGATGCTAATGTGCAATTTCGTAGAGTAGATGCATTATATGATATTATGATTTGTGGTATTCACATTGGTCTGTTTCAGGTCATAGCAGCAACAAATCGGGCTGATATTTTAGATCCTGCTTTAATGAGGTCTGGTCGATTGGACCGCAAGATTGAGTTTCCCCATCCTACAGAGGAAGCCAGGGCTCGTATATTGCAGGTAATAATGAGAAGTGTGAAAGAATGACCAAAATATAAGCTGTAGCTTTTCAATGGACAAAGATAGGACAAATTCTAATATTTTCAATACAACAACATCCAACCCTTATCACAAAAGAGCTTGGGGTCTGTTAGCAACCAAGGTTATTCACCTTCACTGAAAATATTACTACCTCTGTCCCGTTAGAATGTTCTTGTTCGGTTTACGATGCTTGACTGACGATAAAGCAACTCGATCCCTGTTCACACTCCGCTTATTTTTAGTAAATAAAATTTACATATTCAGAAACTACATTAAAACCGCTACAAAGCCTGATCAAGAAAAGTTCAATTTGATAAAAATTTGATATATAAAGTAAAAGATTAGGAGTGACCTAAGTTGACCAATGAATAGTGAATGGGAACATTCCAACGGGACGGAGGGAGTATAATTTATGTTATAGAAATCCTAATATTTTCAATGAGTTACTGAAATAGGATATATTTAAGCTCCAACTCTAATTCTATTGACATTTCCCCCCTCTCCAACACCAACCCTCCCAACTATCCTAACCGATCCCCAGCTGCCGCTGATTGCCGTTTCCCCCCTGCAAAGTCGCATTTTAGTCTGTCAGTATTATGTTAATAATATTAGAGATACAAGTCTCTTAAGTGTTGAACTGAGATTTCTATGTTTTGCAACCCTTTCCACACACACGTGATAAGAAGCAATAAATGTGTATATATGGCTCATAGTTTTTCTTAAGTTATCTGAAATTGGTGATAAATGTATAAACATTAGTGATAATTGTATCGATTTCGTCATTCTATTTATCAAGAATATCAAACTTTCTTGAAACGTGTAAATGAAGCATTTTAATTGTTTTTTATCATGTACCACCCATGGGCACAAATTAGAAAAACCTGTAGTTATTTCATTTTTTTCGTAACGTGTTTTGGCTACTGAGTGAGTAAATAATAATTCCATCAAAAAAATTACAGATCCACTCAAGAAAGATGAATGTTCACCCAGATGTGAACTTTGAAGAGTTGGCTCGATCGACAGATGACTTCAATGGGGCACAATTAAAAGCTGTCTGTGTTGAGGCTGGCATGTTAGCACTACGCCGAGATGCAACAGAGGTCTGTTTTCATCCTACGCGTTAAATGGTTTTCTTGTGGATTCTTTTTCTTTTTTCTTTTCCATTATCACCACCAGTAAGTTGATATTTTGCGTGAAAATGTGTTAGGTTACACATGAAGATTTCAATGAAGGAATTATCCAAGTGCAGGCCAAGAAGAAGGCTAGCTTGAACTATTATGCTTAAATTTTAATTATACGTTTGGTGTTCCAGGATTAAATGTGCCTTGACAAATTGTGTTATCACTCCTTTGATTTAAGATCTACACTGAAGTGTTCTCTCTTTCGTCTGACTTATTCTGACTTTCTGTGCTCCGAAAAACAAGTTCTCCCTCTTATTTAAGATGACATATAAATAATAATAATTTAAAAATAACGACATATATGATCAAAATAAACATCAAGGACAAAAATGTGATTTGTTATCCAAAGTGACTACATTAGTAAGTTCATATTGTTATTATGTTCAATCTGACATTATAGTGAGATTAGTGACCATGAAGTTATGCTTATAATAACTTTGATCATATTTTTGTAAATACTCTCTCTGTCCCGTTGGGATGTTCCCGGTTTGACCTACACACATATTAAGGAAATAAACTTATTAGGGGTAAATTTTATTGTTTTGACACTGTTTTGCACTTTTTGACACTGTTTTGATATAAGATAATTTTCCATTTAAGGAAATGAGAACTTTTTGAGACATCTAAAAAGGGAAAGCAGGAACATTCCAACGGGACGGAGTAGATTTTATTGGAGTAATATTTTAGAGAAAAGCTTGAAGTTTACAAAGTGAAATTCACCAGAATCACCATAAAATAATTTTCAGTATTACCATAAACATATTAAATTGAATGGCGCATCTAGCAAAGGATGGGAAGGTCGGTAGAAAGATTATTTAGTATAACTTTATACGGAGTATACAATATTTTTTATAAACAAAATAAAGTTTACCAAATCCGGGTTGGATGCCCATCTATGCCCATGAGTCCCATGAAATTCTGGAAGAGATCTATAATGATATAGGGTTGTTTGGTTACTAGTCTATCAACCTTATTTTTTGTATGTTTTGACTATTATTTGGCCTTTTGACCAGATTAATCAGCTAATAGGGTGTTTGGTTAATTGGCTTTTTCATTTGGTTTTTTATCCTAAACAGCTAACATTTAAAACGCTAATAAACCTAGCGTTTAGGTGTGGCGGTTTGAATAATTAGCCATTATATCCACGTTCGTTGCCTTACCTTCTCCCTTCTAGTTAGGGTTGGACTCGGGCCGGGCGGCCCGAACCGGAATCGGCCCGGCCCGGTCATTGTTTGAACCGGCCCGGCCCATGGGCGGTTCAGGTCGACCCGGCCCGGTGGCTACCGGTTCCGGGCTCGGGCCTTCATTTTGGTGAACCGGCCTGGTCGGTTCGGGCCGGGTCGAATTTAATTTTTTTTTTGATTTTTTTTTTTAAATTTTTGGGTTGGATTGGGTATTTTGGGCCATTTGATGTGGTTTGGGGTTGAGGGGGAGGGTAGGGGGTTGATTAGGAAAACCCAAAAAAAAAATTATATAGAACCGAACTGGGCCCGGCCCGGCCCGGCTCGAACCGGACCCGGGGTTACCCGGGCCGGTTTCGGGCCTCTCCTACCTTGAACCGAGGCCCGGCCGGTTCAAGGCCCAAACCGGGCCCGACCCGGAACCGGTCCACCCCTACTTCTAGTCACTGCGATATCTTCTGCAAAGGAAAAGGCAGCATTGTAGCTGTTAAGAATTAACTCATGCACACAATGAATAATGAGAACCCTTCTAGTCACTGCGCTACCAAGCTAGGAATGTTATTAATATTTTCGGATTCAGGGATTACAAGGGAGGGAGGTTGTATGTATAGAGAGTAAAACATAACCCCTAATTAAATTAGGACGCGCGTGGCCCACATCCGTACGGTCCAATCTGTACGGAAACTGTACGGAAACTGTACGGAAAACTTGTTCGTCAAAAACGGACCAAAAATTTCAATCCCCCGTTCAACTCCTCGTCGAATTGGATCGACGGATAAGGCTTGATTATACAGTCTATAACACCTTACCGTAGCAACCAACAAGCTTCACCCACTCGTTTTTCATCAGAGTCCCAGCAATAGCACCATGAAACTCCACATGGATGGAGAAATGGAGAATTATCATATCTCATATCAATTTAAAGCCATTGTTTTTTCCAGATAATTAGATGTATTCTGTTTCATGACTTTATCCATTATCGATGCACGTAGGCCTGAATTGTATGATCATAGACTATCTAATAAAATTTTATTATTTTTATAGGTTTATAAATATTTAAAAAACATAGATTTTTTTATAGCTTATGAAGAACCGGTTCCTAACATTAACAATAAATAAATTGATGTCCTCAAAAGTCATTTAACAAATTATCAACCGATTGTAAACAACTATTTAATCAAACACCATTTTACAAACAACTAATATTATCTGTTAATCAAAATAATCAACAGAAAGCAAAATCAACTAATGGCTAACAGGTAACAGCCGTTTGCCAAACACCCCATAATCTTTTTAATATGCATGGTTGACTAAAACTGTAAAAGTGCATTTTTGCTGTCAGAGTTGGCGGCGAGTCGGCGACTGAAATAATACGCCTCATGCAGAGATGAAGCATTCTTATTAAAGAACATCTTTAGTTATAAGAGAGGTTGCATCTCGTCTCCATGGGCTCCCTTGACAAGACTGAGCAGTTTTGTGGGGTAGGGACGTAGGAGTGGAACGAGGCTGGTAGTTGACCCTCGCATCTTTTTAATTGGAGTGAAATTTTTTAGTTTGTTTTGATCGGTTCTATTTAAGTTTGATTTGGTTTTGTATATTTTTGTTCTATTCTACAGTCGTTCGAAGTTTGGTCTGGTCCAATTTGCTATTGAAATCAGTCTAGTTAAAAACATCCTAAGTTCGGAATAAATTCAGCTCAGCTTGCTTCTTTTCACAATCAAAAGGTGGCATCGTTTAGCTCAGCCCCCACACTCTAACCCATTATAGTGGTGGATGAGTAAATCAGTGTATGGTTTCAAACAATTTATGAGTGAAGTGGTTTAGGGAACCGGCTTGGACCCGGATCGGCCCAAAAAAGTAGTCAATTGTTGCACGCATCAGGCGCAAATACGGATCGTTTGTGCAACAATTGGGTACTTTATTTATGTTTTTCCATATTTGGCAGATTTGGACTAGTTCGGATTTGGGTGTGTGTCTAAACGGGTCATCAGGTATTCCTGATTTTAATCGATTTAGCGGCTTGATGGTCAATTGAATTGAATAGGAGCCGGATTGTCGGGGTTCGACTTGACCAGCTTGGTCCTGTTAGATTCTTTTAACATATACTCCCTCCGTCGTTCCATTGGACTTTGCCAATTTTCCCTTTTTGGTTGTCCCAAAAAACTTTGTCGATTTTCTATTAAAGTAACTAATTTGTGGTTTTGCACATTTCTCTCTCCTCTGCACAAATATCAATCACACAGTTTTTACTATTTTTATTTCTCAACTACTTTGCACTTGGCAAAGTCCACAGGGACGGAGGTAGTATTAAATGAAGTACTCCCTCCGTCCCGCTAATAATGGAACACAAACTTTGCCAAATTTGGTATGCAACAATCTTAGTGGGACGGACCGAAATGGTAAAACGGGACAATCTTAGCGGGACAGAGGTAGTATCAAATTACACAACTGCATGTCTGCATGTCATATAAATAATATAAATAAACACTAAATAGCATGTACTACGTACTAAAATATTGATAGGTAGGATTTACCTTAATGTGTGTAATTAGAACATAATCAGAGTATGTTATAAAATCCAGGTTAATTGTCTCAAATCCAAAACAGAGGATATCATTGATGCCTCTTTTTCTCACTAATTACTCACTCCCTTTTAGTCATCCACACACCTCCCATGGGTAATGGGTTTATGCTTACCTTTGAGATGAGGCTATTTACTGAACAATGTTTAAAATAGTTGAAAAAGGAACATAATCATTTAATTGACCTGAACAGTTGAGAATCAAATAGCTAGTCAACATTGGTCATCTTCATCTTCAATGTGATTACCTATATTAGTCATTTACTATGAATATGATTCTGACCAGAATTATCACCGAACTTTTCATCTTCATTCGCCCCTATTGAATCATAACCATGCTCATACTGGTATGTGGAATAAGTACCCCCATATATTATGGAACATCCATAATGAATTTGGATCAAAAGATGGGAGTGGTTGTGTTGGTGAAGCCCGTTCAACAATGACATCACATATAAGAGGTTCAATGACATGGATAAGTTGGGATGCTGTATTGTAGTCTTTTGATCTCATTATTTGTTTCTTGGTCGAATATGTAAGACCCCGGCCGTGCAAGGTTCAAGGTTGTTACTCGTAGACGTTATTGAGTTGCAATATTGTACTTGCAAATCACATGATGAGTCTTTCACTGAGAATTTTGTCTTTACTCGTGAATATCCTACGATCTCATGGGACATGAGATCATTCATCCAATAATACTCTCGTGTAAACACGTTTAACTTACAGTTCTTAGCGTGTGAGCTCCCGAATACTATAGAATATCTCTGAAGTCATCATATAAGAAAGTTATTTCTAGGTTTGGCTGGCTAGTCATTTGTTATCTCATTGTAATTGTCGTTCTTGATTTTTCACACTTTTTTACTTATTAATCTCAAACCTATTTATTAATAAAATCATCTTCTTCGCGGAAAATGAAGCAACGAAATGGTATTCACAACTTCAAAAAGGAATAAAAGGCTCGTCCAATATTCTTTCAGAGTTTCTAAGCTAAATCGTGAGACCACAATCATTTATATTTATTACGAGTAATTATTAAACATTTGCATATAAATTTTGAAATGGAATAAATCGTACTAAGAGCCAATGCAAAAATGCGTTGTTTGTTTTAAAATAGTACTTTAGTTAATCTCTTTTCATACGTAACTTTACTCCATCCGTTCTTTATTAACTGTCTTGTATTCTTTTTTGAGGCATTTTTAATTATTTGTCTCTCTTTTCCCTTTTTTGGCAAGTTTTTCAATCAAAATACCTTTATACACCCATTTTTATTATCATTACTCATTTCTTTTTGCTACTTTTTTTTTCTTTGCTACTTTTTCATTTACCCACAACTCACTACACTTTTTACAGTACCCCTATTATTTTCCTCTTAAGACATGTGTCAAAGCCTAAGATGACAGATAATAAAGAACGGAGGTAGTATTATTTATTTCTAATAGTTAAGAAGTAAAAGGGTCATTGTGAGCCCGTTTGGTAGCATAAAAATCGACTGATTTGGCTGATTCTACCGAAATTTATTAAGTTCTGACTGAAGTGGCTGCATTGGCTGATTTTGCTGATTTAAGAAAAAAATAATTTTAAAATATAATTTATTAATAAAAT